GGGAGGAGGGCATGGGAGGAAATAGAGAGATGTTCTTCAAAGGGTACAAAGTTCCAGGTAGACAGGAAGAGGAAGTTGGTGAGAGCTTGTATAGCAGGGTGACTACAGTTAATAATAATGTATATTTCAAAATTGGTAAATTTCTAACGTCTTCCCACAAAAATTTATAAGTGAAGTGAGATATATTAATTACCTTAATTTAATCACTCCACATATAATACATGTATTAAAATATCACACTGGACCCCATAAATACATGGTGGCCATAAGGTTCGTGTGCATTTTTTGAAACAGACTATTTTAAATTGCATGCGAACATAAACATGGCCATGCCGTACATACAAATATCCTTCAACTAAATATAATATTCATAATTCCTTTTGTAAAAAGTAAGTTTGTAAACTGGCTTTAAATGCAGCAGTACACACCAAGCAGATGAATCTCATCTATGATGAGAATAGTGACTTGCTGAACATAGTTCCTGTTTTGCCAGCTTCTGCTGACTCCATCCCACTTCTCTGGTGTAGTGACAATAAGGTCAGCCTTGGCAATGGACTTCATATCAGGAGTCACATCTCCTGTTAGTTCAATAACTCTGGAGGGAAAGAAAAATAATCCCATAAGATTTTCAAGTAACAAATGACCTAGGAAAGGCAAAAAATATATTACTTTTGAAATAAGACTTTCTAAGGCTTAAAACCTTATTTCCCTTTGATTTCTGAAATTTCTGATCCCCAAACATATATTTCTTAAGAATTCCAAGATGACTTATGGCCATAAAATCAAAGACACATAAATTCAAATCACTGACATATCTAACTTTTTAAGAGTGCCAAACTCTGCTTTAATTAGTTTACAGAATCTCTGTAAATATAATTTTATAAAGTTAAATTCATAACTCCTTGTCCATATGTTAGAATAAACACCTTTTTAATGAGGGAAAGTGCTAATTTATTACTATAAAAGAAGGCATTAAGTGAGAATATTTAAGATTATGTGTAAACGTCATTAAGATTATGCGTAAACATTTCTTAGGTTGGAATTTTCTATAGATTTTTATGGGCAAATTCAGACACATTAGGACATTAACAAGATACACCAGGGCAAATATGTGCCACATCCTTCTGAACAGACGTCAGTCGCATAGTGAGAAAGAGGGAAAGAAAAACCTATTAAGTCTAAAAGAGTTAGGTAATACGTAGAAAAATCTGTAGGCTAACTCCTAATTTTAGCTAGCTACTAAATAATTTCTATATTTGTGTTAGGACAGGGAAAAGGGTAAGACTGGTTCCTCCAAGCATAATGTTTCCAAAACATTTACTTATTTTGATTTTAAAGATTTTTCACAATTTACATATTTTGAATATGTAATGTTTAATGTTGCTTTGTTCAAAAAATATGAAGTGAATAGTTTCTATACTATCCCTATCCTATGGTCATCTAGTTCTAATTCTGAACCAATCATTCTTTATCTGTTTTTAAAACAAAACATAGAATATTTCACTTAATCTTTTAAACACCATCTCTGGAAATTATTCCTTTAGTATACAAAGAAATCTTTTTAAAATAGAGTGATATAATATTCTGCATTGTGGGACAGTACCATCATTGACTTAGTGATACTCTATTGGACATTCAGGTTATCTGTAATTTTCTTACACAACAACAATATCCCAATGAATAACCTGTTCTATATTAACCTTGTTTAGCTATATTAAAATATTAACGAAAAACCAAGTATGTTCTTCAAAGAAGTATTTTTTATAAATAATTAATATACCAAGGGTCTTCTAAGTGGTTTCTGAAGGTTACTTTGAATCGTAAGAACAAAAGAGAGAGATCTTATTTTTATTGTGTTTTAGGATGAAAATATTTTGAAAAAGTTATCTTGTCATGTAAAGTACACACATTAAGTAATTTAAGCAATTTCATTTTTCAGTCTTAACACAATGGATATTGATACCATTTTAATAATAGTTAAATATTTTTAATAAAAGATTATAAGATTATTATAAAATCATCTAACAGTTTTATGCATCTCTTATTTTTTAGTCCTTTTAGACTATTCAAAGCATATCTTTTAATGAAATGTAAGAACTTACTTTTTACCAAGCTTTTCTTCTATTCTAACTTTCCAGTCATCCATTCTTTCACGTACTAGGGCTTTTAGGGGAGCAATATATACTGCCTAAAAAGGGGGGGATAGACAAAAGACACTCTCATGAAAATAGTAACAGCATTTTCAGACAAAAGTAAACTCGAAAAATATTTGTCAGAATATGACAATGTGGTTTTAAAATGCATCTTTTAATAATGAATACTTGAACTTTTTCATTAATGGGAAAAAGTCATTGATTTAAACTACATTTACCCCAAATAAGACAAATATAACACATCATAAACAATCTCTCATAGTATTTGCTAAAAGGCATCAGAGGGATTTTGAAACTATATTATGATACAATGTGAACAAATAAAAAAATTAAGAGTTAATACATGGATGTTACATAGACAAAATCAAACTTCTGATGAAAATGTTTTTCCTAGCACTACGATTAAAGATTTATGAGCTGTGTATAACTCTTTCATAAGAAAGTTATTACTTTTGAAGTTTTAAAGAGAAGTAAACTAGTTGTTTAAATTTTAACGCAGGTTTTATAGAAGAGGAAAGCTATACATTTTAGGTGTTAAAAAATAAATAAAAACTGGTCTTTAATGATCCAAACCTAAACAAGTATTATTCATTAAGAAACTCTTTCCTTTGGCTCAGCGCCTATAGCTCAGCAGCTAGGGTGTCAGCCTTATACACTGGAGCTGGCAGGTTTGAATCCAGCCTGGACCCGCCAAACAACAATGACAACTGTAACCAAAAAAATAGCCAGGCATTGTGATGGGTGCCTCTAGTCCCAGCTAGTTGGGAGGCTGAGGCAAGAGAACCCTTAAACCTAAGAGTTGGAGGTTGCTGTGAGCTGTGAGCAATACAATATTAATTGTATAATATTGTTATATTAATGTATCTTTTTATGGGTATATCAGAGAGATTAAAAAGCAAAAAACTTAAAAGTTAAGCAGGGAAGAAAAGCCATTACTGGAATTCACTATAAAAGAATGTTAAAATATTTTTGAAATCATAAATGACAGGGAAAATAGTCCATAATTCCAAACACAGCATCTCTAAAATATCTCCATTTTGAATCTGAAATGCACAGTACTTTAACAATTTAAATACAAGAAATCCCTAAAGACTACATAAAAAATTGTAAGAATTAATAAATTCAATAAAGGTACAGGATACAAAATCAACATATGACAACCAGTAATGTTTCTATATACGAAACACAATCTAAGACCAAAAAAAGGTCAAGAACATGGTCTCATTTTTAATAGTATCTAAAAGAATTGAATATTTCGGAATAAATTCATGACTTGTGTGTAACCTTTTCACGAAAAAAAGATACTAATTTTGAAGTTTTGAAGAGAAATAAATATACTATTAAATCTTATACTATTAAATCTTAAATATACTATTAAATCTTAAGACTTTATGGAAGATGACAGTTATACATTTGAAATGTTAAAAAATAAATAAAAACAATAGAAAATTTAACCAAGGATGTGAAAAATATGTACCCTGAAAACTATAAAACATTGATGAAACTGTAAGTGACACAAATAAATGAAAAGATATCCATGTTTGTGAATTGGAGTGATCGATATTGTTGAATGTTCACACCACCCAAAGTAACCTGTAGTTTCAGGTTGTAACCTGAATGTAACCTCTATGTAGAATGTAACCCAATGTAACCGCTATCAAAATCCCAATGGCATTTTTGACAGAAATAGAAAAAAAAAATCCTAAAATTCATGTGGATCCACAAAAGACTCTGGAGAGCCAAAGCAGTCTCGAGAAAGAAGATCAATTATAGGTGCCACATTTGCTGGTGTCAAATTATGTTTCAAAGCTGCTATCATAATCAAGAGACTGTGGCAGTCCAGCCCTGGCGTAAGAAGAGGCCCACAGATAACTGGAACAGGACAGAGAGCCCCAAATCAACCCACACATAGAGGTCAACCAATCCTTGACAAGAAACGAAGAATATATGTAATGAGGAAAAGACAGGCTTTCCATAAATGGTGTTGGGCAAATTTGATAATGAAACTGGACCCTTGGCCTTACACCATGTACAAAAATCAACATGGAGTAGAAGGAAAATAATGCAAGTAGAGAGTATAACAAACTAAAAAGCTGCCATACATCAAAGAAAACAAAGTAAAGGGACAATCTATTACAGTGGGAGAAAGTATTGCAAACTATATACGTATAATAACCCCCACCCCCCACCAGCCAATCAGTGGTTTTGCTTTCTGAGGTTTTGCTTTCTGAGGGCCCCCACAGTCAAATGAGGCCCAAAAATATTAAATGGAAAATTCCAGAATTACATATAATTTACATTCCTCAATTATAAATTGTGTGTGCTTTGGAGTAACTTGACAAAATCTTGCACTGTCCTGCCCCGTCCCACCCAGAATATCAATCATCCTTTTGTCCAGTGTCTCCACTAGATACCCCGGCCCCTCAGTTACTTAGCAGCTAGTAGCCCTTATCAACCTGTCATAATATTACAGGGTTTGTGTTCAAGTAACTCTTATGCTACATAACAATGTTCCCAAAGAGCTAAAGAGTACTGATGCTGGTAATTCTAACTTGCTGTAAAGTGTTTCCTTTAAGTCAGTGGTTGTCAACCTTCCTAATGCTGTGACCCTTTAATACAGTTCCTCATGTTGTGGTGACCCCCAACTATAAAATTATTTTTGTTGCTACTTCATAACGGTAATTTTGCTACTGTTATGAAATGTAATGTAAATATCTGATATGCGGGATGTATTTTCATTGGTCGCAATCCACAGGTTGAGAACCACTGCTTTAAGTGAAAAGGTGAATGTTCTTGACTTGACAGAGAAAAAAACCATGTGCTGAGGTTGCTAACTACAGTAAGAACAAATCTTCTCTCCACGAAATTAATAAAATAATAAAGGAAAAATGATCATGTAGGAAAAATAACACTTCTGTGTTAGTTTTGCTGTCATACCTCAAACTGCAGAAATATGATAAGTACTCAGTTAAGATAAAAAAGGCGTTAAATTTGTGGGTAGAAGACACGAACCAAAATGTGCTCTATTTTTTCATCTTTAATAAACTTTTACTGAATTATACATGAATGTAATATTTCTTGTTTTACTTTTTATTTTATTTTAAACTGACATAAAAATTGTACATACTTATGGGGTATGCACTGATGTTTTGATATACATATTGCATAATAATCAGATCAAGGCAATTAGCATATTCATTATCTCAAACATTTAACATTTCTTTGTTTGGGGTATATACACTATTGTCCTAGCTATTTGAAACCATATGATATGTTATTGTTAACTATTCCCACCCTACAGTGGTATAGAATACTAGAACTTATTCTTCCCATGTAGCTATAATTTTGTATCCTATATTATAACAAAGCTTTAACAATCTCTTACTCCCCCATCCAAACTGTGTTCAATATTATCTATGTTTTCAGGCACCCACTAGGGTCAACTCAAAATATATAGGAAACACATACAACTCCAGAGCAAAAATCTCATATAATTCAAATAAAAATGGGCCAAGGATATGAATAGATTATTTTTTTTCCAAAGAAAACATACTGATGGGCAGCAGGTGTATGGAAAGGCGGTCAGCATCACTACTCATCAGGGAAATGCAAATCAAAATAAAATGAGATATCACCTTAACACTGCTACGAGGGCTATTGCAAAATTCCAACAGATAGCTGAGTGCAGCGGCAAATGCTTACAGTCTCCCTTGGAGAGAATATGGAAAAGGAAACTGTTGCACACCATGTATGGGGATGTAAATGGTATCGTTGTTAAGGATACAGTACAGAAGTTCTTAAAAATTTAAACATGGGACTATCCAACAATTCCACTTCTGGGTATATTCAAAGGAAATGAGATCAGTTTCTTGTGCCTTTATTTATTTAAAGACAGAGTCTTACTTTGTTGCACCTAGTAGAGTGCCATTTTGTCACAGCTCACAGCAACCTCCAAGCTCTTGGGCTTAGGTGATTCTCTTGCCTCAGCCTCCCAAGTAGCTGGGACTACAGGTGCCTGCCACAACGCCTGGCTATTTTTTGGTTGCAGTTTGGCTGGGGCTGGGTTTGAACCCACCACCCTTGGTATATGGGGCTGGTGCCCTACTCACTGAGCCACAGGCCCGCCTGAGATAAGTTTCTTGAAGAGATATCTGCACTCTCATTTTTTAAAAACTGCAGCATTATTCAGAATACCTAAAATCTGGAAACAATCTAGAGTTTCAGATGGATGAGTGGACAAGTTTTGGTACACACACACGCACACACACAACAAACTATTATTCAGCTTTAAATAAAGGAAGGTGGGGGATGCTATGCTAAGCTAAATAAGCCAGACATGGAGAGAGAACTACTGCAGGATTGTACTTATATGTAGAACCTAAAGAAGTCACGTTTACAGATGCAAAGAGGAGACTGGTGGTTATGGGGGGTAGAAATAGGGGGTACAGGGGATATTGGCCAAAGGGCATGAAGTTTCTTTTACATAAATAGATCTATATATCGCATGGTAATTAATACTACTGCAATGTATACTTGGAATTAACTAAGAGAATTGATCTTAAATGTTTTTACCACATTTAAGGTAACTATCAGAAGTGATGGATGCATTAATTAGCTTGGCTGTAGTAATCATTTGAAAGGTCCAGATAGAACAAAACATCACATTGCATACCTTAAATATATACAATATTTATTTTAAAATGAAGTATAATAATAATGGAAAATAATTTGAAAAATTAAAATATTACGTTTCAAGAAAGCTTGAATAACAATACTGTGGCTATTTGGAGAAAACGAGAATAAAGGAAACCTCTATATTTTCTCCATATAACCAAACTGTGTTTATTAAAGTACTAATATTTCTTCCATACCCAAAAGGTTTGATTATGAGTTTTATATACTTTATAGCTTTGCCTATCAATTAGGTATCTCATAATGAAACTACTTATTAATAGTAGATATATTACAATGAGAAAAGGCCATGTGAGTACCACTATGTACACTAGAAATTCATCTAGAGGACTATAAAGTTGAGGTGAATTTCCTTGCAGTAAATTATTCTACTACAGGCACATCTTGTTTGTGTTTTGTTTGCTTCACTGTGCTTTGAAGATATGCAATACTGTGATTTTCTTTTTACAAATTGAAGGTTTGTGGCAACCCCGCATGAAACAAGTCCATCACTGCCATTTTTCCAAAAAGCACGTGTTCACTTCCAGTCTCTATGTTGCATATTGGTGATTCCTGCAATATTACAAACATCTTCTTCATTATTACACCTGTTATGGTGATCTGAGATCAGTGATGGTTGATGTTACTATTGTGATTGTTTCGGGGTGCTATGAACCACATCCACGAGATGGTCAACTTAATTGACAAACGTTGTGTGTGTTCTAACTGTTCCACAGACCAGCTGTTCCTCCATCTCCTCATCTCACTCCCTCTCCTTGGAACTCGTGACTCCGTGAGACACAACAATATTGAAATTAAGCCAATTAATAATTATAGTGGCCTCAAAGTGTTCAATAAGAGGGAGCCACATGTCCTTTACTTTAAATCAAAAGTTAGAAATGGTTAAGCTTAGTGAGGAGGGCCTGTGAAAAGCTGAGACAGGCCAGAATTAGTCAAGTTGTGAATGCAAAAAGGAAAGTTCCTAACAGAAATTAAAACTGCTACACCAGTGAAGACAAGAATGGTTAAGAGAGCAAAACAAGTTTATTGCTGACTGGAGAAAGTTTGAGGGGACTGGTGAGAAGATCAAATGACATTCCCTTTAGCCAAAGCCTAATGCAGGGCAAGGCCCTAACTCTTTTCAATTCTATGAAGACGCAGAGAGATTAGAAAGATGCAGAAGAAAAATACGAAGCTAGCATAGGTTGGTTTATGAAGTTTAAGAAAAGACTTCCATACTGTAGAAGTTCAGGGAGGTAAAGCTGCCTTGATGGAGAAGCTGCAGCAAATTATCCAGAAGATCCAGCTAAAATAACTGATGGAAGTATCTACACTAAACAACAGATTTTCAGTGTATATGAAACAGTGTATATGAAACAATGGAATAAGACTCCATCTATGACTTTCAAAGCTAGAGAGGAGAAGTGAATGCCTGGCTTCAAAGCTTCAAATAACAGGCTGACTCTCTGTGTGAGGCTAATGCAGCTGGAGACTTTTAACTTGAAACCAATGTTCACGTGCCATTCTGAAAATGACAGGGCCCTTAAGAATCATGCTAAATCTACTCCGTGCTCCAAAATGGAACAACAAGCCTTGGATGGCAGCACATCTATTTATAGCACAGTTTGCAGCATATTTTAAGTCCACTGTTGAGACCTACTTCTCAGAAAAAAAAGATTGTTTTCATAGTATTACAGCTCATTGACAATGCATCTGGCTGCTCCAGAGCTCTGATGGAGATGTAAAGGGGATTGATGTTGTTTTCATGTCTGCTAAAATAACATGCATTCAGCAGCCCATGAGGTAAGAAGTAATTTCAACTCTGATGTCTAAGAAATACATTTCATAAAGCTATACCTGTCATAGATCATGATTCCACTGAGATCTTGGCAAACTCAATTAAAAACCTTCTAGAAATGATTCATTGTTCTAGATTCCATGAAGAACACTCATGATTCATGGGAAGAGTACAAAATATCAACATTAACAAGAGTTTAGAATAAGTTGTTTCTAACCTTTATGGATAACTTTGAGGAGTTCCCTACTTTAGTAGAGGAAGTAACTACAGATGTGGTAGAAATAGCAAGAGAATCAGAATTACAAGTAAAGCCTGAAGTTGGGACTGAATTACTACAATCTCATCATAAAACTTGCTTAATGGATGAGAAATTGTTTCTCACAAATGAGCAAAGAGAATGGCTTCTTGAGATAGAATCTACCCATGGTGAAGATGCTGTGAACACTCTTGAAATAATAAAGGATTTGGAAGGTCACATAACCTGAGTTGATAAAGCTGCAGCAGGGTTTGAGAGGATCAACTCTAATTTTGAAAGTTCTACTGTGGGTTAAATGCTCTCAGACAGCATTGCCTGCTGCAAAGAAATGTTTCAGGAAAGGAAGAGTCAATCAACGTGGCAAACTTCGTTGTTCTTATTTTAAGAAATTTTCACCACATCCTCAACCTTCAGTAATCACCACCTAATTAGTAGCCACAAACATTGATTTAACACCCTCTACCAGCAAAAAGGTTTCTATTTGCTGAAAGCTCAGATGATTGTTATAATTCCTCAGCAATGAAGTGTTTTTAAATTACATTGCTTTTTTAGACATAATGGTATTGCAAACTTAATACTATATAATTTACAGTATAGTATAAACACAATTCTTATATGCATTGGGAAACCAAAAAATTTATGAATGGTTTAATTGCAAAATTCACTGTATTGTGGTGGTCTGGAATAGAACCCATAATATCTCCAAAGCATGCGTGGACTGATCTGGTTGGACCCTGGATAATTCACTGAGAGAGTGACAAATCTACCCACTGGGATCTGCCAGTATATTTAGAACTGGCTATTTTACAGATTATGAACTATCTTTTCTAACTGAATATAAGCATATGATTCTTTCAACAGACCTTTGAAGTAGGGTACTTGTTGAAGACTCTGAAAATGGCTAATTCAGCTGCAACAGTTTTTCCTGATCCAGTGGGTGCTCCAAGCAGGACATTACAGTCTGTATGATAGAGTGTATGAAATATTTGTGTCTGCACAGGGTTAAAGTGGCTGAAGTTGTACAAGGCTTCATATGCTTTACATCCCAAAGCTGTGATTGGCAAAGGCTGCAGATCCAGTAATTCTGAAAAGATACAACATGTACTGCTAAATAATAACTGAAAAACATGCACAATAGTGAATATAGTATTTTAAAGAATAAACTATAACAATCCTAATTCCTTAGAGGGGAAAAGAACTTAACATAAATTGCTGTACACCAGAGACAGATCTCTTTTTCCCCCCATGTCACCACATTTATCATGTTGACATCCTGGACCTTCTTCTGGGGGAGTTCTCTATAAACCTACGATAATGCTATCTGTCTTTCCTATCAGGAAAGTAACTTGAATAATAAGCGTATGAAAGTATGCATGTTATAGAACAAAAAATCAATCCCAATTTGTAGAAAAATGAAAACCATTTGCGAACTTCAGTGCTGGAATGGTTGGTAACAAGTCATTAGTTTTATTCACTAAACCGGAGTAGATGAATGAGCTGTTGCTATAACCAATGGAAACTGAAATGAACTTATGATAATTCTAGGAAAACACTTAGGTGGGAGCTTTAAAGCAGATCATGACTAAGTAAAGAAACTGCCCTGGAGAAAACCTAGAAAGAGACTAGATTTAGTTATTGCTCATTTTGTGAACTGAAGGTCCAGGGGATTAGAAAACATAAATGATTTAGAGAGGCCGTTACACACATCCTTAAGTGCCCGATAGACCTTGGGTGTCCCATAACACAGAAAGGTATCAGTTAAAAAACGAGAGGCACTTCACTCTCAAAATTATTTCACAGAAAATGATTCTACTCATTTGAAAATTGAGAAGAAAAAACAAATAAACAAAAATAAAACCAGTAAGGGGACACAGTGGTACCCTGAGTTGGATCTTCACAGTACTGTTTCAAATGGAAGGCAAACAAATTTTCTTTTTAAAATTTGTTTAAAAGTCAAAACGCTAATTTGTAAAATTATCCTTGCCAAAGTGCTCAGCTCTGTAACACAGGTAACTGAGAGCTAACTGCATATATTCTACACCAGATTATAACCTC